GGAGGGGGCGGCCCGGCCGCTCCGGGCCCGAACCCCCCGGGGTTCACCCCAGGAGGGGACGCGGGCCTGAACCCCGCTGTCTGGACGCTGGAACGGTTTGGGCGGCCCCTTTCCTGCCTTCTCTTCGCTATTTTGATTTACACATCGTTTCTTTTCACCCTTAAGTCCGACTGATAGGACAAGATAAAATTGATAACAGAAAGTTTATTCAAGAATTGTTCAACAGACAACCCTTAAGCAAGGAAATAAAATAACTACCATAAGAACAAAGAAAGATCTCCCAAGAGGAGGGGTGAGGTGGGAGGGAGGGATTAGCTATAGTTCTTCTAATTCAGGACTATACAGTTACAGTCTGGTTCTGCTCTCATGCCTCCAGTAGAACTAATTACATTATTCATAAGTACGAAGGTAACATAAAACTACTGGTCTTTCTAAATTACAATAACTAAAATAAGCTTGTTGTACAATGACAAGGAAACACAATGTCCTTTGTAACAGTAAATACTAAAAAAGTACAATTTGATTCTTTTTTCCTCATATAAATACATAATATTGGGGATAAATAATACAAAAAAAGGAAAATATTTTAAACTGGCTATAACCAATAAATATATATGAATGTTCACCAGAACACACACCTATTGAAGGACGTCTCGACTGAGTTGGACGAACGCCCTTCAAAGTTGTTTTTATACCCATTATATGTAAACTCTAAGTGCAACAAAGATGTCCAGACAAGAAAGCATTAGCAAATACTAGAGATCCATTCACTTCTGCTTCGATTGGAGGACATTCCGTTTGTTCAAATATACCCTGTTTTCACGTAAGGTCAAGAGAAGAGGAGGAAAGAAGCGTAGGACTTCTAAGTCTTAAGATTGCTTTTCTGTTAAGGAACCCTAAGAAAAATACCCCCAAAACAAAAAACCCCAGCAGCGTCGAATGGAGACTTCATGTCATCAGAGGCAAAGGTGCGAAAATATTCAGACCTGTCAACTCTTTCTTCCTCTCTTTGGACTGCTGTTATTGTTGGCGGGGGGTTTCTAGGCATTTCAAAAACTTGTTTCCCGAATCTTTTGCAATTCTTAGACCTCTCTTATTCTAATTTTTTTTATTATTATTATTATTTTTGAGAGGGGAGGCAGGGGCCGGAGGGGAAGAGCCTGAATCCCACGTGTTGGCAGGTATGTATATTTGCAGTTTATGTGGGGACTGGTGGGAAGTTACTGAGCGAAAAAGGATGCCCTTCCTCCCAAGGCTGGAAAGGAAAGCGCGAGGTTCCTCTTGAGAAGGAATTGGAGAGAAGGGTAGTTTTCTTGCGAATCTCTTTTGATTGCATATGTATAGACATGTGCATGTTTACGTAGATGCGGAGACACCAACTGTAAAGACTTGGCTGGCTGACTATTCTCCTTTCCAGTGTCCGAGAATTATCAGTGATGATCTGTACTTGGAATTAAGGATGCTGCTGCTAAAAATCTGCTGGATTCCCACAAAACTACCCCAAACCCATTTCAGAAGCATTTGTGTTGAAACACAGGAGGTATATCTCTTGAGAGAGAGAGCTGCTCGTGGCAGTAAATACTGAAATGCTTGGAAATTGTGCCTCATAAAACCCAGAAATAAGAATAGCAAGCACAACCACCTGGTAGAAATTGCCCTGTCAAAGAAAGAAAGAGAACAGCTCAACACAAATGTTCCTGAAGCCGATCCTGCCCTCTTCCCCTCTCCCACGCCCCGTGGCGAGGTCCCATCCGCTTCGCCCGAGCCTGTCCCTGCTCCTGATCACAGGTGGGTCAGCTTGGGCGCCTCTTGGATTCTGCCCTGAGAAGAAGCGTGGTGCGTGGAAAGGTCTGTGTAGGTGGGGTGGGTCTCGCATGGTCCGTGGTGCTGGCTCGGGGGCATCTGCGGAGGCCCACTGTAGTCCATGTTGGCCGCCTGGTGATGTGGCAGGTGATTGAGGCCGTAAAGGGACGGGCCAGAGGTGGGCATAGAATCCACATAGTTACCTCCAACATAGACGGGGCTTCCCTGCATGCTGGGAGTCCCGTAGGCCACCCCGTTCCCTTGTAAGACGTGGGGGTCGTACTCGGGGGCCGTGTTGGCGTATTTCTGTTGGGAGGGGCAGCCTTTGATGGGGTTTTGGTAGTTAGTTGACATGGCATAGGCATTTTGGTGGGGTTTATTGAAGGAAGGCGGCGAGGGGGCATCATAGTTACTGCTCATGGTGTGCAAGGCGTTCATAAATCCAGCGGAGGATTGCATGGGCTGGGGGGGGCTGCCGGTGGGGGAAGGCCCTCCTGAGGAAGACCCCATGCCTTTCGACTTCTGATCTTTCTTGTACTTCATCCTCCTGTTCTGGAACCAGATCTTGATCTGCCTCTCGCTGAGGTTCAGCGAATTCCTTCTCCAGCTCCACCAGCTGAGCGCTGGTGTAGGCTGTGCGGGCTCTCTTGGAGGCCGAGGAGCCTGGAGGGCTTTTCTCGCCGCTGCAGGTTTCTGCTGGCCGCGAAATGAAATAAAAGATAATTACTTACATGCAGAAATTGAATGCATCGTTTCTTAATAAATCCTGGAACAGGCACAAGAGTTCGACCCCCCCTTCCCTCACCCCTTTGCATTAGCCTGCACTCCATAATCATGTCATTTATTAAGAGTTCTGTTCTCCAAAGCTGCCCCTGGTTTATGAAAATTTGATCATGTCATGTAGAAAAGGATTCCAGGGCCATTTGTTTAGGAGTCGATTATTTCCAACAGATAATTTTGAGAAAATAATATTTGGCAGGGGGGCAGTCACTGCAAAGCCAATTAATACTAACACGGGTCAGTGTTGGGAGGTATTTTGTTTGCCGAGGTACGAATGCACACACACACATCTTGTCTCTTTCTTGTATTTGTGTAACACAAATATTTGCACGTACATTGTTAAACACCGAATTGCATTTGTACCTAGCTTTTTGTGAGATAAAAATGTATATAGCATATATTAACGTAGAGTCAAGTGTGTGCCGCAAAGTTTATATGAATATATCTGTCAGAACAGTGATATTTCCATACTGCTTTTTTTCTTGATCGCGTTAGAGATGTGCGGGTATGCATGCAAGAATATCCATGTGTTCGTGCATACGCTCTATACATGCGCACATACACTCCGAGCGCACCATGTTTACTGCTGTGTCTGGAGGCAGGGAGGTGGGAAGAGAACAAGCTCTCCACTTTAGCATCGCTAGGTTGAGCAGTGGGTGTACATTTTCATGTATCTGTACCTACACAGTCAGACATCGGCTGTGTACAACCGCCTGGTTGTATTTCCCTGCGGTGCTCTGGATATGTTTAAAATAAACCAAGTGTGCGCAGTCAGTGCTGCAGGATGGGCCAAGGCTCGCTCAGCCTGGCCGGGGCATGCGGCTGGCAGTCTTGGGATCGTGCCCAGCACCAGGATCCTCGCTGGATCCTTGCTGGATCCTCGCTGTGTCCTCTCCCCCTCTCCCCTCCCTCCGAACAAGATCACTCTGGCCAGTGGCTGCGTTACCTCGCTGTTACAAAAGCAGAACAGTGTACCTGTGCTAGGGGAGCTGTTTTTCTGTTTGGAGTTTTGCCTCGATTCTTTCATCCAGGGGAAAATCTGCTTGGTGAGACTGGCGTTTGCACTGAGGTTGGCTTTGCTGGGGGCAGTTTTACTGCTCCCCGACTGGTTATTGCTGTTGCTACTGGTGCTGTTGGCGGCAGGGTTTGGGGGCGGCGAGACGGGGGGAGGCGGGTGGTGCTCCTGGGGCAGACTTGGACGCATGCAGCTCCCGTTCAGGTCTTTACTTTTTGCGTGCGGGGTTGTGTTGCCAAGAGACTGGAGGGAGCAGGCGGACCTCTGGTAGTCGTTCTCCACGTGAGAGGCCGGCTGGAAGGGCTGCTGGGGACCCTCGTAGCCGAACCCATTGGCACTCCCGTAGGAGTAACCCCCAAAGAGCGTGGAGCTGTCGTAGTACGTTGTCTTCTGCATCTCTGGGACTCCCCAAAATGATTTTTCCGGCTACCAGGGTCTTGACACCCCTATGGCAGAACATTGGCACCCCAAGGCCACGTGACAGGCCGTTTCCAGCTGTCTATTGGAAGCTGACCTGAAAGGTTAGGAGAAAACACACAATAATAGTACCCGGCCTATGAATCCATCTTGGGGCCTGAAAGGCCCATGACATGAATAGGGTCCTGCAGAACAGGGCGAACAGATGCTTTGAGCAGATTTTGTCCTGTGTGCAGCCTAAGGAAGCTCAACAAATGTTACAGCGCAAAAGTCTTGAGCTGATTTTGGGGGGTAGTTTGCCTGGTTGGATGGTTGTTTGCACCTTTTTTCCCTTACAGGATAGCACCCAGGACGTATAACTGCACACATGCTCTGTAAGTGCACGTGGTCTCATCTGTATACATCTATTTACTTCTATATTTATCTATATACATATAAACACACCCCCATGCATTCACATATGCTCCCATATAAATGTGCGTGTGTATATGCGTGTAGATGTGTGTGTTGTGTGCACGTATACACACCCACGTCCAGACAGCACACACATTAACGTAAATATGAGAATACAGAACGGATAATTGCTAGCTACAAGCATGAAAGGAATGAAAGTCTTGCTTTCTTACCCCTGACCTATTCAGATCAGCCATTCACACACATAAAAACCGGCAAGACGTTATATCATCAGAAATTAAAAGTCTGCTAAGTTTCTTGCACGGCCTCTGTCCGGTATATTTGTTTTTAAACTGGAAACAGCAAATAGTCAATATGTTTTATCCAGGTAACGCTGTCCTGACACAGTGGCTTGATTTGCTGTTTACACAATGTCTTTGGAATTCGGTGCAAATATTTTAAGCAGATTTAAACAGGGGCCCGAATTCAAGAATGTGCTTCCTTTGGCCTGTTTGTGAGTCTCTCGCTCTGGTAGCACAGGTTCTGTTTAGAAAACATACCCCTTCGTTGCCTGCACTGCTTTGTGCTCATCGGTCTTGAATCTGGAACTACCATTGGCAAGATGTGATTCTAAAACCAGTTTAATTGCCGTTGGGTTTTTTCCCTTGGAAAACAAACGCGTCACCAGGCCATTTGCTCTTAACTTTCTGCCCTTTGATTTTTCGTCGTTCCTCCCTCCCTCAATCCAGGCTCAAAAAGTCTGAAAACCCAATCCAAACCCTCAAATTACAAAATGAAACCTTCCTTTTTTCTTTCTCTCTCTGGCCTTTTTACTTTTCTTCATCTCTTTCTTTCTCTTTCTTTTCTCGAAACATAAACTTTCTCTGCCATAAAGACAGAGTAGAAATACCCCTAGAAATACAAAAACTATCTTTACCTGAAAATAATCTGATGTGTGAGGAGCAATCGAGCAGCAAATGTATTTTAAAAGGGCAGTGGCTTCTCTCTGCAGCTCAGAGTTTGCGAGGAGCCACTGTGCATTTTGTTTGGAAATTGATATCCATTGTATATTTAATTGTATCTATTGTATATTTAATTTTATCTGGGCTCTTTCATTCTCTAAAATAAAATAAAATAAACTCTGTGGAGATAAAGTCTAATGCGATATTTCTAAGTACCGGGGTTTAACAGAAGCCATAGCTCGACGATAAATAACATCTTTTTTTCCCTTCCCTGACTGCTGTGTTCGTATGTCACGTCACATGAAACCTCCGTATACTTCGAACACAGCCTCAGACAACGTGTCCACGAAGGGACTGCTCCGCTTTTTTACACCGATTAAATCCTTTATGCATTCCCAAATCTGTATTGTATCTTCCACGGAGATGTATTATTGTCTACAGAGAGGATGATAGCCTTGCTGGGAGTTATTCTCATTTGGTTTCCTCGCCATGATAAATATGTCTTATTAAAAAGTAGACTCCGCTACCCGAGCCGAGAAGCTGTGAATTAATTAACAAACAGCAGCGCCTTGATTATGAATAGGTTTGCTGAAAATATCTGCGAGGGCAGAGGTGGGAATTTCTCCAAGGCCTTCCTGTCTGGCATAGGTTTCTTAAAAAAAACACAACAAAACAAACCCAAACCAGAACCGAGCAGAGAGGCTCAGCTAAAGCAGCTAAAAATAACAGCGACGATTTTTTTTTTTTTTTAAATGGCCATAAAATAAATTTACAATCCCCTTTGCCCAAAAGCTCGCTCGCTTGTGGCTTCCACAGAAGATTTGCTTTGTACCTCATCTCTCAGCGCCTCACAAATGCCGCTCATTTATCTTCGCCGAGGACGGCCGCAATCCTAATTATTTACTCCAAGGAATTGTTTAAAAAAAAAAAAAAATCTCAGGCAGAATGATAAATATTCGATTATCTCCTGTTCCAATTAAACCCGGGCAGGATCCGCGCTGGCTGTTTCATCACGCTCCAAGTTTCACTTTGCGAGCGGTAACATTTAACCACAAACTCTTTGCCTGCAACTTTTGAGTGCGAGGATATGGAGATATTTAAAAAAAAAAAAAAAACAAAAAAAAAACCAAAACCAAAACCAAACAAATCGGGGGAAGGTGCGAGAGGGAAAGGGCTGCGGGGAGGAGGAGGCTCGGGAAAAAACAGGCGGTCGGGGGCAAAAGAGAAAAGGGATCTGAGGCAGAGGGATTCTGCTGTAAAGCCATCCCCTCCATGTTGGAAACCCTAAATTCACAACCTGACCGTGTTTATGAAGAAGAGCAGCGCCTTTCCCCTCCCCCGCCCCTCCTAAGGTACATTTCCCAGAGCCAGCGAAACCAGGCAGAGCCCCGCTTTTAATTTAAATTATTATTAATAATAAATATTCTAAACGTGCCCTTAACAATAGGTCGGCTGCTCAGAAAGAGCGCAAATCCCAGCGACTGCCTGGCGGTGGATATGCCTGGAAAACAGAGACACATTCCTAAAATTTCCCTCTTCCCTCCCCCCACAACCGAGCTTCACCCCAACCAGAACTCCCCAGTTGTAAAGCGGGGGGGAAAAAAAGGGCCCTGGATGAGGGCTGCAAAAGAGCCTCTGCGTGGAAGGAAGCTTAAAGCTTGTGAACTCTTCTTGAACCGAGATTGGAGTCATATGGTCATAAATCATTGGGACATATACTCCGCCATTCACAAAGTGATAGCCTATTTGAGTCCGGCTTACCTTAGTCTCTGACGAGCAAAGCACAGGCAGACATAATATATTTTCACATCCAGCATCCACGCAATCAATAAGCAAGGAATGACCCCCTTCCTTTGAAAACGTTAAAGGAATATACGAGAGAGAGGAAAAAAATCCGGCATATGCATGTATATATGTATAAAAAAAAAGCCAAAACAGAGGGGGAGGGGGCTCAGCCAGTGGAGCTTTCGGTTACGGCAGCTCAAATTGTCTCTCTGTCTCCGTTTGGGGAAGAGGAAAAAAAAAAAAAAAAATCAAGATGCTTTCCAGCTTCCAAGATGTGCAGAAAAGCTGAGGGCTTTGAATGGACAAACCCTGAGATTCTACTTGCCCTATAGACTGGTACGCGCTGCTCACTGATAACAATGGCCTCTGCTTTACCACAGCAAAGGGGAAGAAGGGAAAGGAGAAGGGAAAAAAAAAAAAGAAAGAAAGAAAAGCTGAACACAATCCCCCCCCCCCCCTTAAAAAAGC